ACCCCGTATTTATCGGCGTATAACACGCACTTTTCCCCCCTGAAAATAGGGGGCAAATGATGTGTGCATGTTATACGCCGATATAATGTTAAGAAATGATAATAATATTAATAAAAAAAAGTTCTGAGCTACCCTTATTTTGCTTCAAAGTTCTTTATTTGAAATTTAAGTTTTTTTCCTGAAATTTCCCTCTTAAAATGAAGGTGCGTGTTATACGCCTGTGCGTGTTATACGCCGATAAATACGGTATATATATATACTTGAACACCTTCATTTCTGAGGTTATACACTGTTACTACAACAACCTCTATCAAAACTGAAGGTTACCTGCAGTAGTCGTAAGACCTGGAAAACTCACACAACTGTTTTAAAAAGTTGCTGACTGGTGCTATATTTACATTGAGTGTCTTGAATAATTTATTCTAAATCAAAACTGAAACATTGCAAAATTATATAAATTTGAATTCTGTAATGCTGCAGTTGTTATATATTTAAATACATACATAGAGAGAAACATAAACATTAATCATAGCTCATACAGTATAAGTATGACTGTTAGCTTCAGAAATGGAGGTAGTTACTATTCTTTGACTTCTTTTAATTGCTCATCTTAATTGACATTTGGAAAACACAGCCTTATGACTGCACAGGAAAGAAAAGGAACATCTAAGTGATGGCGAACCTTTTAGAGACCGAGTGCCCAAACTGCAACCCAAAACCCACTTATGCATCGCCAGGTGCCGGGTGGGTATGGCCCATTTGGGTGGGTGTGGCTGCGGTGGTAACGGCAGACTGGGTAGGATTAAAAAGTTCAATCAATCAATTCCAACTTTGCAAGATCTTTTTTTTCCCACGAGAAGTTGAAATTGACATTCATTGGACTTTTTTTTTTGCACATGGCGGCGGAGGCCTAAACTGAAAAGGTTTTATAAAACCCAGCTAAAGGCCTAGGACTGGGGCGACGGCGCGCATGCCCACAGAGAGGGCTCTGAGTGCCGCCTCTGGCACCACTGATCTAAGACATATAATTAAATAAATGTATCTGTGTATAGGTGAATAGCAAAGAAAAGACAGTTTTCTCCTTATTAAATTAAATTTTCATATTTGGAAATATTGAAGTCATAGTATGAAAATGCATCCTATTAATCTTCCAGACTGATCTTTGACAATTTTCTAATGTGATTTTCTTGTCTGCCAGTTCAGTTTCCTTACTATTTTCTTTTCATTTAAAAAGAAACACCAATCTAACCAGATATCCTGTTTTTCTTTCCTTCCCACAAAATCAAGATAACCAGAAATTGTCCATGCTTGAACTCTGCCTTAAGAAATTTAATTTAAAACATACTTGAAGAAAACCACAAAGGCAAAAATAAAACCATACACAAAAAAATGTTTGAGAGTGTTTTGTTCAGGCTTTTTTTTTTCAATATTAGAAACAGAGTATTTTTTGCTTTTCATTAAAATATTAAAGGATACGGCATCCATTGCTATTAAATGGAACCGTCTATTTCTGGCTTCTTCCCTAGAAAAAATAAAATGTTATTCCAGTAATTTGGATGCTTAATGCGATTCTGACAATGTTACACCAGTGTGATGAGGTACCTGTCCCACTCATCCATTGCCACCTGTCTGTGGGCCACCTTGTCGTGCTTGTCCTTCTGGAAGGGCTTTTTGAGTAAGGCATCTTCACTGGTTGACGGGGAGAATGGAGAAGAAAAAAGAAAGTATTTCTTAGATATTGAATTTAATTTTTAAAATCTCTTTTGAAAACTACATGCATATAATAATTGTAAAATACTCAGATAATTACTAGAATCAAGAATGATAACTAGAATCACAGTTTCCTTAGGCACATATTCAGATGCCAGGATTCATATACCTACAAAGATCAAAAGTGTATAGACTCTGGTTTTTTCCCTGACACTCTGTGAAAGCAAAAAATTGGACTCTGAAAAAGCAGATAGGAAGATTATTGGCCCTTGGATTATTGAACTCTTGGATCAATGAACAAATCAACTCATAGTTGCCAAATAAGACGCAAATGACCAGATTCAAATTATCATATTTCAGACACATTATGTCAGGGGTGGGGAACTATGACCCTTTTATGACTTGCAGACTTCAACTCCCAGAATTCCTGAGCCAGCATGGGGTAACTATGGCCCCTTCATGACTTGCGGACTTCAACTCCCAGAATTCCTGAGCCAGCATAAGGAAACTATGGCCCCTTCATGACTTGTGCATTTCAATTCCCAGAATTCCTGGGCTAGCATGGCTGGCTCAGGAATTCTGGGAGTTGAAGACCACAAGTCATAAAGGGACCATAGTTCCCCACCTCTGCATTATGCAAAGACCTAGCTCTCTGCAGAAGGCTCTAATGTTGGGAAAGGTGGAAGGAAAGAGAAGAAGACAAAAAGCTGCAAAGTGGACAGACTTAATTATGGCAATAGTGGCTACACACTGATCAATCAGAATCAAGACTTAAGTATTCTGGTCATTTTAAGAAAATCCCACTGTAATGGCTATTTCTTTTTTCTTTCTTGATTAGCAACTGAGAGGCCATTTGAGATCAAGATCTGAGAGAAAGATCTGATCCTAGGACTTCTAGATACCAACCTCTAGATTACAGCAAGCTTGTTTATTTCATGTAGTCCAAGGAATTAGGTTGGGAAGACTGTTTGAAATATTTGGCACTATGTTCAAATTCCTATAATAATCATTCTAATAGAGGCAAGCGCTACAGGAGCAAGAATGCAGCTACTTATCTGCTTCTCTTTAAACCAATTGGCTACTTTAAAGAATTGCATTTAAAATGTT